TTCTCTGTGTCGTATAATATATGTGGGTATATACATAATTTTGTATTTATTTATTTTGTCATGTTCATGTTGTGTATATTGGAGGTGGTGAACCTTTGCGAGATGGATGCAGCGAAATTTCATTTTAATGTATGCCGATTAGTAGGAATTCAAAGTGCCAATCAAGTTATTCTGTTCTGTTCTGTTCTGTTCTGTTCTGTTCCGTTCCGTTCCGTTCCGTTCCGTTCCCTCCCCTCCCATCCCATCCCCTCCCTTCCCTTTCCTTCCCTTGTTCTTCTGTTCTGTTCTGTTCTGTTCTGTTCTGTTCCGTTCCCTTCCCTTCCTCTCCCCTTCCCCTCTTCCCATCCTATCCTATCCTACCTTCCCTTGTTCTTCTCTTCCCTTCCCTTCCCTTCCCTTCCCTTCTCTTCCCTTGTTCTTCTCTTCTCTTCTCTTCTCTTCTCTTCTCTTCTCTTCTCTTCTCTTCTCTTCTCTTCTCTTCTCTTCCCTTCCCTTCCCTTTCCTTTCCTTCCCTTCTCTTCTCTTCCCTTCTCTCTTCCCTTCCCTTCTCTTCCCTTCCCTTGCTCTTCTCTTCTCTTCTCTTCCCTTCCCTTCCCTTCTCTTCTCTTCCCTTCTCTCTTCCTTTCCCTTCCCTTCTCTTCCCTTCCCTTCCCTTGTTCTTCTCTTCTCTTCCCTTCCCTTCCCTTCCCTTCCCTTCCCTTGTTTCTTTCTCTTCTCTTCTCTTCTCTTCTTTCCTTCTTCTCCCCTCCTTTCTCCTCTCTTCTCTTCTCTTCTCTTCTCTTCTCTTCTCTTCTCTTCTCTTCTCTTCCCTTTCCCTTCCCTTCCCTTCCCTTCCCTTCTCTTCCCTTCCCTTCTCTTCTCTTCCCTTCTCTCATCCTTTCCCTTCCCTTCCCTTCCCTTCTCTTCCGTTCTCTGTTCCCTTCCCTTCCCTTCTCTCTTCTCTTCTCTTCTCTTCTCTTCTCTTCTCTTCTCTTCTCTTCTCTTCTCTTCTCTTCTCTTCTCTTCTCTTCTCTTCTCTTCTCTTCTCTCCTCTCCCCTCCCCTCCCCTCCCCTCCCCTCTTCTCTTCTCTTCTCTTCTCTTCTCTTCTCTTCTCTCCTCTCCTCTTCCTCTTCCTCTTCCTCTTCCTCTTTCTCTTCTTCATCTTCAGTTCGCATCTGCCTTCCTGGGATTTGAAGTCTGTACTCGGAGGAAGAGGTGCCAGATCTGGCCAGAAAAGGAGCTGCTCGGCTTCCCTCCATCTTTGCTCCTGAAGGCTAAATCAGGCGGGGGGGGGGGGCGGCCCGGGGGGGGGGGGCTGAGCTCATGTATTCTTAGCAACTGAAGCACATCAAAATACTTCCTTAAATAACCCCTAGGGCAGGAAACAATATGTCAGAGCCCATTAAAGTTGGAAAACCATTTCCCCCTCAAAGTGGCAGATTGGGGAAGAAAGGAACCAGAGCACTCGTTTTTTAAAAAGGAAAAAAAAAGAAAGAAAGAAAGGAAAAAAAAAGAAAGAAAGAAAGAAAGAAAGAAAGAAAAGAAAGGAAGAAAGGAAAGAAAGAAAGAAAGGAAAAAAAGAAAGAAAGGAAGGAAGGAAAAAGAAAGAAAGAAAGAAAGAAAGAAAGAAAGAAAGAAAGAAAGAAAGAAGAAAATCAACAAGAGGCCGAAACAAAGTCCTTTCTGAGCGTTTTTCCATCCGTGAACAGGATCCTCTCTTAGGTCTTTGCAACAGGCCTGCAAGGTAGGCCAGTTGGATTACAGGGAATCCGCTACCTAACGACTGTAATAGATGTCAGAATTTCCATCCTAAATCATGACCCTCACCAAGGACTCAATTTTATAGAATATAGAATAACAGAGTTGGAAGGGACCTTGGAGGTCTTCTAGTCCAACCCTCTGCCCAGACAGGAAACCCTACACCACTTCAGACAAATGGTTATCCAACATCTTCTTTCAAAATTCCAGTGTTGGAGCATTCACAACTTCTGGAGGGAACTTATTCCACTGATTAATTGTTTTAACTAACTAAGTTGTTCCACTGACTAATTGTTCTAAATCTAACTTGTTTATAATTTTAACCATGGTCATAAAATCAGGCCGAATTCACTTAAGAACTGCCTTGCTTTCAAAATACCATCAAACTAATTTGATCAACTAATAAAAATGTGAAACCTGAAAACTGCTGCCTTGCTTAGCAACGGAAATCCTGTTTCGATTGTCGTTGTAATTTGAGGGCTACTATATCGTGAAGACGGTCCCTTTCCCGTCCCTCACCATGGATAATTTTCATTACAATCGCCACGATGACAGAGACCAGGTTTTATTTTTATTCGGCATCTTCAGACTTTCCATTGTGGTCCATGTTACGCCAGGCTTAATCCTCTTCTGAATTTTATACTCGGGTTTGAAACAGGAGGAAAAAAAAAATGCATTTCTGTCTGGAAAATTACAAAACTGCATTTTTGGTGGGAAAACGGCATTTTTGCTGCGTATGAAGAAGCCATAAAATTCTGGGGATAGTCACAATAAGAATCATTTGTTAAATTGCTACGCTGCCCGACTCTCCGCAACTCGGAGGGGCATAGAATCCCCATTCCCTCCCCACTCCTAGGGGAAGGATATTGCAAAATCTCCATTCCCACCCCATTCTGGGGCCAGCCAGAGGTGGCATTTGCCGGTTCTCTGAACTACTCAAAATTTCCGCTACCGGTTCTCCAGAACCTGTCAGAACCTGCTGGATTCACCCCTGCACCCACCCAATTGCTTGCCTACCTGACCACCTGGCTCTCCATCCGGGCATCCGCAGAGAGTTGTCCTCGCAGCAAATTGCCTATACGGAATTGTCCTGCAATGACTCGGTGGCAGTGAGTTGGCAAAAGCGACTTGGCGGTAGCGAGGGGGCTGTTCCTGGCTGCTTTTTTTTTTTTTAAATTTGATTTATATGCCGCCCTTCTCCGAAGACTCAGGGCGGCTTACAATGCGTTAAGCAATAGCCTTCATACTTTTGTATATTTACACAAAGTCAGCTTATTCCCCCCACAATCTGGGTCCTCATTTCACCTACCTTTGAAAGGATGGAAGGCTGAGTCAACCTTGAGCCTGGTGAGATTCGAACTTGCAGTAATTGCAGGCAGCAGATGTTAATAACAGTGCTTTAGTCCACTGTACTACAGGCTCTTGCTTGCCTCCAGATGGCTGTCCCGAATTGTCCTATTGTCCCATGAAGCATCTCCATGGTCACCTGATCAAAATTTGGGTGCTTAGCAACAGGCATGTATTTACGACGGTTGGAATATCCCAGGGTCATATAATCACCATTCACAACCAGCTTAAGCAAAGTCAACGGGTGAAACTGGATTAGCTTAATAAACACATGAGTAAACTTATTCCCTTAACAAACCTGGTGACATAGGTCATAAAATGAAGCCAAACTCTCTTAACAACTCCCTTGCCTAACAACAGAAATTTTGGGTCTCCGTTGTGATTGTAAGTCAAGAACTGCCTGCACATTAAAAAAAAACCCAAATCATTTTATTTATTTATTTTTCTTTTATTGGCCTTTATCAATATTTGTAGAAGCTCTTGCAGGGGGAGTAAAAGAAAAGTCAAAATGGAAGCCATAACCCTGCGATTAAAGCCTTACACTTTTTTTTTAACAAGTGTTGTGTCATTTTGGAAAGACACCAGTGGTGGGTTTCAAATTTTTTTTACTACCGGTTCTGTGGGTGTAGCTTGGTGGGCTTGGCTTGGCTTGGTGGGCGTGGCAGGGGAAGGATACTGTAAAATCTCCATTCCCACTCTGGGGGAAGGATATTGGGTCTCTCCTTGAAGAGCACTTGGAGGCTCCAATTGGTCCAGAATGCGGCTAAACGGGTGATTATGGGAGCCACACGGCGCACCCATGTAACACCGCTCCTGCGCGAGCTGCACTGGCTCCTGGTGGTCTTCCGGGTGCGATTCAAGGTGTTGGTGACCATCTTTAAAGCGCTCCATGGCTTAAGACCTGGGTACTTACGAGACCGCCTTCTGCTACCGATAGCCTCTCACCGGCAAATACGTTCCCACAGAGAGAGACTCCTCAGGGTGCCGTTGGTCAAACAATGTCGACTGGCGACCCCCAGGCGGAGAGCCTTCTCTGAGGGGGCACCTGCCCTCTGGAATGAACTGCCCCCAGAGATACGGATGATCCCTGACCTACGCGCCTTTCGCCGTGCCCTCAAGACGTTATTGTTCCAACAAGCTGGGCTGGCCTAAACATGAATTTTAATGGTTGTTTAAATTTTTTAATAAGATTGGGGCCAAATTATTTAATATATTTTTAAATTGCTTTTAAATTTTTTGTATATGTGTGTTTTAGTGTTGGCTGTGCACTGCCCTGAGTCCTTCGGGAGAAGGGCGGTATAAAAATTTAAATAATAAAAATAAATAAATAAATAAAAAATCCCCATTTCCTGGGACTTGGGAGGCAGAGAATAGATGGGGGCGGGGCCAATCAGAATTTTTACTACCGGTTCTCTGAACTACTCAAAATTTCCGCTACCAGTTCTCCAGAACTGATCAGAACCTGCTGTAACCCACCCACCCACCCACACCCACACCCCCTTATAACCTGGGTAAAAATCTTTTCTGGATAGTTTTCAATAGTTTGATAAACCCCATAGCAATCAAGCCACAGAAAACCATGTGACTGAGGGCAAGAAATAAATGAATTTATTCATTCATATGCTGGTGCTGCGAAAGGCAGAATCTAACATTCAGTGGGGCGAAAGGGTGCACAGCCCGGGAAAATGAAACAAGTCCCTTTCGAGTCAGGTGTTCTGCAAACAGGGCACCGTTTTCTAGCAGGGAAGGCGGCTGGCTCTCCCCACCACAGACTCTAAGCGAGTTTGCATTTGACAGGATGGAGTGGTGATGGAGGAAAAGTCGACGCTGGGTGCATCTTCTTTGGATTTTGCCGATGTGGCATCCTCATGGAGGACAGGTGGAATTAAGCCTGTTGCTTTTGACTGTCTTCCAGATTTCCAATGTCCTGACTCGGTCTAAGATGAAGGTATGGAAGTTTGCAGCCATAGGCACCATGGTTTTCGGCTCCATGCTCTCCATTTTGGTTTGTAGAGACATGCTCAGCCGGAGCCTCAAATCCGCTGCCTTCCCTTTGTCGCTGTTCTCCAGAACTGACGCCACTGACGCCTCCTCCTCTCCTTCGTTGGCCGAGGGATCCAGAAGATTTCCGCGGGAGCTGGGACGCCGCAGGTCGCTGATCTCCCAGTGTAAGTCATTGTGTCTGATCCTTCTTTTTTCTCTCTGGTGCAACGGGTATGTCCAGGAATGGGGGTACATTGCTTCCAAGGGGTTTTATCCCACTCCAAGGGTCTGCAGGTAGCCTGATCTCAGCTGATCTTCTACAGGGAGTCCTCGACTTACAACCGTTCGTCGAGTGACCATTTGATGTTACAACATCACTGAAAAAAAATGACTTACGACTCATTTCACAGTTACAACCATTACAGCATCCCCATGGTCATGCGATCAAAATTAAGATGTTTGGCAACTGACTTGTACTTATGATAGTGGCAGTGTCCTGGGGTCATGTGATCCCCTTTTACAACCTTCCGACATGCAAAGTCAATGGGGAACCAGGCTCACTTGACTACCGTGTTAGTAACTTAACAACTGCAGCAATTCACTTAACAGCAGTGGCAAGAAAGGTCGTAAAATGAGACAAAACTCGCTTAACAAATGTCTCACTTAGTAACATAAATTTTTGGTTCAATTATGGTCATAAGTTGAAGACTACATGTACTTTTAAGTGCCAGTTGGCCTCAGGCTGTTTGTCTATGTTAGGCTGTTTAATTTAGAAGTTGGAGCAGTATACATTGGGCCACAACACACAGTTGTAATTGATTGGTTGGAGAGTGCTGGTTCATGCAGAAGGCAATTTATGCTGTGATTGGTGGCTGTGGGTGTAAAAGTGGAGTTTCCTTTTTTCCCCGCCTTTTTCTTCTGTATATACTTTTTGATTTACCTCACAATGTTCCTGTGTTCCTGACTATCTTGTCTGCTCATGCATGAGGCAATCTACGTTGTGATTGGTTGCTGTGGGTATAAAGGGGGAGTTTCCCTTTTTCCCGCCTTTTTCTTCTGTGTATACTTTTTGATTTACCTCACAATGTTCCTGTGTTCCTGACTATCTTGTCTTCTCATGCATGAGGCAATCTATGCTATGATTGGTTGATATGGGTGTAAAGGGGGAGTTTCTTTCCCCCCCACCTTTTTTCTTCTGTGAATACTTTTTGATTTACCTCACAATATTCCTGTGTTCCTGATTATCTTGTCTGCTCGAGCATGAGGCAATCTACACTGTGATTGGTTGCTGTGGGTGAAAAGTGGAGTTTCCCTTTCTCCCCCGCCTTTTTCTTCTGTGTGCTCTGTATACCTTTTGATTTACCTCATGATGTCCCTGTGTTCCTGACTATCTTGTCTGCTGTGAATATAGGTGCTAAATATATTTGTTTATATAAAACTACAAGTTTGTGTCAGTGTCTCTGACTTCATTTGGACACCTGACGCGCAATTCACTGATATTCTGGCTTTGTGGGGCTTGTGGTTTGTCTGAACTGGCTTCTGGATCCTACTAACAACATGGCTGCACACATGAATGTCACTACAAGTAGTCTTCATCTTACAACCATTCGTTTAATGACTGTTCAAGGTTAAAATGGCACTGAAAAAGGTGACTCAGGGCCAGTTATCACACTTATGACTGTTGCAGCATCCCTTAGGGTCACATGTTCAAAATTCAGGTGCTTGGCAACCCGCATGTATTTATGATGATTGCTGCATCCTGGGGTCACATGACCACCATTTATAACCTTCCCAGCTGGCTTCTGACAAGCAAAGTCCATGGGGAAAGGTAGATTCGCTGAACGATGACATGGTTCACTTAACAATACTGATCCACTTAACAATTATGGCAAAAAAGATCGCAAAATGGGGCGCGACTTGCTTAAGAACTGTCTTTATTAGGAATGGAAATTTTCTTCTCCATTGTTGGTGTAAATTGAGGACTGTTTGTAATGTCCCTAAATGCTAGAACATCTCTGACCCTCCTAGATTTTGTCCGTAGAACCTCAAATGCACAATTGCACAATTGGCCAAAGGTTTTAAGATCTTTGGCGTGCTGAGAAAGTCAAAGGGGTGCATAATTTTCAGCTTCTCACACCAATGCATAAGGACACAGCACCTGTGATCCAGGGGTGAAATCCAGCAGGTTCTGGAGAACCGGTAGCAGAAATTTTGAGCAGTTCGGAGAACCAGCAAATACCACCTCTGGCTGGTCCCAGAGTGGGTTGGGAATGGAGATTTTGCAATATCCTTCCCTCAGGAGTGGGGAGGGAATGGGGATTTTGCAGTATCCTTCCCCTGCAGTGGGGTGGGAATGGAGATTTTGCAGTATCCTTCCCTTGCCAGACCTACCAAGCCACACCACACCACACCCACCAAGCTACACCCACAGAACCGGTAGTAAAAAAATGTGGATTTCACCACTGCTGTGATCACAATCGGTTCACAAGAATTAGCGGTTCCCTGATACTCCAGCTGATTTTTTAAAAGTTCCCTCTTCAAAGTGGACATTGAGAACAGAACAAAAGAGAATAATAGAGTTGGAAGGGACCTTGGAGGTTTTCTAATCCAACCACCACATCCAAACAGGGGAGACTAGATTTCTTCTTCTTCCTAGCGTATATCCATAGATGCAGGATCTACTTTTTGGATCATTGAATTCAGTGGTGAGTTGCTACCGGTTTGCCCCGGTTTGAGTGAACAGGTAGCGCCGGTGGCAGGAGGCTCTGCCCTCCCACCTGGACGCTTCTGTGCATGTGCAGAAGTGTTGTGCGTGCGAACGCAAGCACGTCCATGAGCGAACCAGTAGTGACGGGTTTTGAAACCGGCCCCTCATTGAATGCCACTTAGCATGATCGCCTGCGTCTCCAGGACGCAGGCTCGTGGCTTGCATGGTTCATATTGTCTTGCCATCTCTGTTTTGGACGTCCGCGAGGTCGCCGGCCATTGACTTCTAGTTGGTGGGCTGTCTTGGCAATGGTGGAAGGTGCTGCTCTTTGGAATGTCCACGCCAGCGGAGCCGGCCTTCTTTCATCTTCTCTATAATTGGTGCCACACAGAAGAGCCTATACCATTTGAGATAAATGATTGTCCAGTCTCTTCTTAAAACCTCCTTCCTTCCAGTGGCAAGCTGTTCCACTGGTTAATTGTCCACACTGTTAGGAAGTTTCTCCTTAGTTCTAGGTTGTTTCTCTCCTTGATTAGTTTCCATCTATTGTTTCCTGTCCTGCCTTCAGGTACTTTGGAGAATAGGTTGACTCCCCTCTTCTTTGGGGCAGCCCCTCAAATATTGGAAGATGCTATCATGCCCCCCCGCCCGGACCTTCTTTTCATTAAAATAGACAGAGTGCTTCTCTCCAAAGGAAACAGACATCTAAAGCAGAGATAATCAGTTAATCACACCAAGATTGCCGCAAGGAAAGACCCAAATCTAGTCCAATCAAGTGCTTTGCGGAAGGGTAATCCGCATAACCCTTTTTGCAATTAAATCCAGATCCCGCCTCCCGAGTCAGTGGGAACAAAGGATCAACTGGAATTGCGGCTGTTTGAGCAGAAAACAAAAGGCTGGGACACATTTGGCTTTTTCCTGCGATTTGTGGTGGGCTTTTAATTTGGATTTAATTATATACTTGTGTAGGAATGAAACTCGCAGGAGAAGCAGCTGATTAGGGTGGATCTGTGTAGGTAATTAAATCAAACATTGAAGGATTTAGGGAGCGCTTTTGAAAGGCTGTAAGTGCAGCAGAACAATTCAATTCAGAATAGAGCTGGAAGGGACCCTGGAGGTCTTCTAGTCCAGCCCCCTGCTCAAACAGGAGATCCTATACCATTTCAGACAAGTGATTGTCCAGTCTCTTCTTAAAGACCTCCAGTGATGGAGCCCCCACAACTTCTGGTGGCAAGAAGTTCCACTGTTTAATGGTTCTCACTGTCAGGCAGTTTCTCCTTAATTCCAGGTTGCTTCTTTCCTTGACTAGTTTCCATCTGTTGCTTCTTGTCCTGCCTTCTGCTGCTTTGGAGAATAGATTGACCCAGTGGTGAAATCTGAACTGGTTTGCTACTGGTTTGCTGGCCGCGCGTGCGCGCTACGTGCCAAAAGGAGGCTTGGGAAGGTAAGTAGAATAGCGAGTGGGGGAGCAGCTGTGCCGCACGGTTTAGCTTTGCTAGAAAGCAGGATTGCTTTCTAGCAAAGCTAAACCATGCGGCTCAGCTGATCGTTGGAAATACCGGTTAATCACCTTAGTTGCTCTTCTCTGCACTTTTTTCCAAAGTCTCAACATCTTTTTTGTAACGTGGTGACCAAAACTGGATGCAATATTCCAGGTGGTGTCTTACTAAGGTTTTATAAAGTGGTACTAATACTTCTAATACTCTAATGGCAGAAAGTGAAGAGGAACTAAAGAGCCTCTTGATGCGGGTGAAGGAGGAGAGTGCAAAAGTTGGCTTGAAACTCAACATTAAGAAAACTAAGATCATGGCATCCGGCCCTCTCAATTCCTGGCAAATAGATGGGGAAGAAATGGAGGGAGTGACCGATTTTATTTTCCTGGGCTCGAAGATCACCGCAGATGGGGACTACAGCCAAGAAATTAAAAGATGCTTGCTCCTGGGAAGGAAAGCTGTGGGAAATCTAGACAACATTCTAAAAAGCAGAGACATCACCCTGCCAACAAAAGAGCGTATAGTCAAGGCGATGGTTTTCCCAGTTGCAATGTACGGCTGTGAAGGTTGTACCATAAGAAAGGCTGAGCTTCAAAGAATGGAGGCCTATGAACTCTGGTGCTGGAGGAGACTCCTGTGAGTCCCTTGGCCTGCCAGGAGATCCAACCGGTCAGTCTTAGAGGAGATCAACCCTGACTGCTCTTGAGAAGGCCAGATCCTGATGTTGAAACTCAAATCCTTTGGCCACCTAATGAGAAGGAAGGACTCCCTGGAGAAGAGCCTAATGCTGGGAAAGATGGAGGGCAAAAGATGAAGGGGACGACGGAGAACGAGGTGGCTGGATGGAGTCCCTGAAGCAGTCGGCAGGAGCGTAAATGGACTCCAGAGGATGGTAGAGGACAGGAAGGCCTGGAGGAACGTTGTCCATGGGGTCCTGATGGGTTGGATACAACTTCACAACTAACAACAACAACGATAGATAGAT